CAAGGACAAACAAGCTGCCACCTTCTGGCCTTGCCTCCAAGATATTCAAGAAGATATTCAAGAGGGTCTCCAGGTTAGTGCACATATTCAAATTAAACCAGTGTAGTGCAATTGTGCTCTTATTCTGTTATTTTAAATACATTGTAAATTGCTCTTGTTGTACTGCCTGCCATACAGGAACTTGAACTTTGAGCAAAGCTAGCTGCCTCCACCTCCAAGTGAAGCAAAACAACACATCAACGAACAACCAGCATGTTTGTTCTGTATATGTTGAATGCTATGAACTTGGAGATTTATTTATGTACCCTTTTGGCTATGTAATGACCGAATGACTTGTGTGATGTACTGTCGGTCTGATGGAACTTGCAAACTGTAATGTCTTGGGTGCTAGTGGCTACTGCTAGTGAAGTACTACTCTCTACTACATACTAAGTACTGATGTGTATGGATCATGAATTATTACGGTGCTACGTGACCGGTGGTTGCAGTAGAAATTATTAAGCTACTATTTGTCTAAATTTGTGTTCTGGGAGTGATGGTTGCTGCTGAATTGCTGATTTTTATGTGCCTACAAAAGAACTATCGGCGGGTACGAGTGACCCGACAGGTATAATTTATCCTGCCGAGTATGGATCTAGGGAAATTACCCCACCCGCAGCCGGGTACGGGGATACCCGTGGTCTCAAATTGTTATCACGGGGATAGGGAGTCCATACCCGATGAGGATTACCCAATTGTCATTTTTTGCCATGTTTACTTAGTTTATAAACTGTATGTTTTTTTTTTTGGACGAACAATATTTTTTTTACCGACAAATCAGCCCGCGTTGCTTACAGCCAAGCGAACAGCTGCTAGCCTCTCGGCGCATCCGTCCCATCCAACCCACGATCCGTCGCCGGGTCCGGTCCAAGTCTGCCCGCCAATCTCTTGTTCCTTCCTTCCTCCCCGTGGCTCGCCCAGGTCCGCGGCCCCCACCGGCACCGCACGTCTAGAAGGACAGCCAGGCCAGCCACGCCGCGGCTACCAGCCTACTGCTACTACCAGGCTACCACCACCACCAACCCGCATCTGGTTCTGGTCCGGCGGCGCCACAAGTCCAGTCAGTCGACCAGTCCAGCGACAAGCACGGCACGGCCACCTTGTGCCAGAAAAAAAAAACAAAAAGGAAATCCCGTTCCCGTGCGCGTCGCGTGCTGCTCCTCTCCTGCATCGCGCTGCCCGGCTGGCCCTGCCCCACACAGCCAGGCTGGCCCGCCTGTCGCTCTGCTCCCTCCGTCCGTCCAGTCCAGGGGGCGTGGGGGCGTGCTCGCTCGGTGCCCGCAGGCGGGGACCACACGGGGCTCAGATTCGATTCGCTCCCAGGCACGGGGTGGGCCCCGCAGGTCAATCCCGATCCGTCTCCGTACCGGTGCTCCCTGCTGTGCCCGCTCGCGTGCTCATTCCTCGGGGGCGACCGGTTCGTCGTGCCTGACTGCCTGCCTGGCTTCCTCTGCGCCCACGCCGCGTTCCCCTCTCGCATGCTAGCTTCTCAGGCCCTCCAAAAAGTTTTAGAGCTAAAATCTAGATAGAATTTATCTAAAGAACCAAACACTTTCTCATAAAACCTTTAGAGGGGCCAAAAATTTTAGGAGCTCCACCTCCTCCTAAAACCTCCTAAAGTCCATCTACACCCCCACTACCCCTCTCTCTCTCTCTCTCTCTCTCCCACCCTTCCTCCCTCGATGTTGCCAAGACAAAGTTCTCCCCTCGCACCGCACGGCTGCTGCGTGGGGGGCCGGGACGGCGTCCGGCGTGGAGGCAGAACCACCTCCATGTTGCTTGTCTTTGTGGCCATCCGCTCTCGGCCAATGTCTGCCGTCACCGCCACGGCCCATGCGATGGCGTCATTGCTCCTCTTCCTCCCGGCCATGGCGGGCAGGTCATGCGGTGCGTGGAAGCTTAGTCTAGCGCCTTGGCCAGCGGAGCCAATCTTGGTGATGGGGACGGGATGAGGATCGCCGAACAACCATCTCCGCCACGCTGCTCTCTTCTTCGCACGCAGCGAGGGGACGGCCGGGAAACGTGAGAAGGAGCGGAGGAATGGATAGAGAGAAGAGAACATAACAAGGACGAGGAGGAGGAGGGGGGGGGGCGAAGTCGGACCTTGTCGTCGTCTCCGTCGGGCTCGTCGTCGACGGAGACCGGGATGGAGCCCCAGTCTAGCCATTGCGGCGGAGGCGAGAGGAAGAGCGCAGGGGTTTCAGGGGTAGGAGGAAGAAGGGCAAAAGTGTCTTTGTTCAATAGTATTTATTGCTTTTAGTCACTTTTAGGAGGTAGAACCAAACTCTGCTAAAAGCTCCTAAAACTTTTAGCTCCTAAAAATTTTAGGAGGTCCAAACAGGGCCTCAATCCTCCCCTCTCCCGGTCCCGGCTCGCAGGTGGCGGGCGAGGACTGGAGGTGGACCCGGTCCATGGGGCGGGGGCGACACGAGAACGGATCACGAGATCGTGCACCGCAGCCGCTTTTCCGGGTTTCTTTTTCGTTTTTTTTTAAAAAAAACGCCGGGCTCCATCCATTTCGAGGCTCAAAAGCGGTAAAAGCGAACCTGGGCTGCTGCTCCCTCTCTGCCTCCTGCATCTCTCAACCAAAAAAAAAAAAAGACACACCGGAGTGGAGGATGCAGATGCGATTATCTATCTATACTGATTTTAATAGTAGCTTTACCCAAGTTCAGTTTCAGCGCGTTCAAACCGTACGAGGCGGGACCGATCAGCGATTAACATGGACCAGCTGTCCGGCGTCAAATGATTCCTTGTGCGTCGGGAGGAGGGAGCTCATGTGAAAAAAATGGCAGCCACATGTCTGCTGACAGAACATTCAACATTTTTTGTTGTGTTCTGAATTGTGATGAATAATTTTATGGCCCTCAATGTAATTATAATAACGTAGAGTGGCCCTGTTCGTTTCTCTTATAATCCGTCTTATTCAGCTTGTTTTTTTTCAGCCGGAATAGTGTTTTTCTCTCATAACAACTTGTTTTTTCAGCGAAACGAACGGGGGGCAGTATGCTCTTTACTGAGCTCGTCATCGCAGGCAATGGACTTTGGAATTGCATCAAAGTTCGGGAGTCTTCTTCATTTCAAACGAGTTATCAAAAAACAAAAAACATTAGTTCAAGGCAAATTTGATATATTCCGAATTCACAATGCCATAACTGATTAATCAGCCTTTTCTCTCGTCTGTTTGCTTGGTTCACGGCTACCTGCATGCATGTTGTTAGCTGTGGAGCAGTCGATCCAATAGTCTAGGCAAAGGCGTGGCTTGGCCACAAGCAAGCAGAACAAACTTCCTGATCTCCCATCGTCGTTTTACGGTGTTGCTTAATTTGGCTTCCTAATTTATTCGTTCCTATCGAAGAATGTATGAGACAATTATATATATATATATATATATATATATATATATATATATATATATATATATATATATATATATATATATATATATATATATATATATATATATTTATTGGAGAGAGTTTTGCTATGAAGCGGGTATGGCGGCTATCAATCCGTCATCGCGCTCACCGGATAGGTGGATCTGCCCCTCGCATTGAACTCTTTCTTCTTCCTCTTGATTTGGCTTGCTGGTCGGCGCCTGCTAGCGACGCCTTGAACCATGTGACCTCCATAGGTGAGTCTAACACCCCCACATTTTTATTTTATACTTCTTTATACATGCTAAGCGGACCTCGACCACCACACGCTACCCTGTACTATGCCCACCACCTTGTTTAGGGTAGCCTATATCTTTACGATCGTTGCCTCCTCGGCACAAAAACTCTACGTCCAAAATCTGAACCTCAAACCCTACCTCGCTAAATACCTCACCAAAGTTGGGAGAGATCCGAGATGGACTTATCCGAGCCCAACAAAAAAATTGGGTGCTCTGTGGCTCCAAAATGATCCAGCACTAGCTACCTTTTCCTAAAGGGAAACGTGCAATGAGTTGTAACTTTGTTTTTGGCAAGGTTCATCCATGTGCATGGTTATCGCTCGACCTGTCATGTCATTGATGTTATTAGTAGATAAAAAAACTATTATTTGAATTCAAACTATACATCCCTAATGTAAATGTTTGAAGCATAAGGGACCTAGACTTGATAGCCCCTTCCTGGCTATGTCATTGATGTTAGTAGATAAAGAAACTATTATTTGAATTCAAATTAGCCCGCCACCACACTCTAGACGAAGACAATAAATATAAATGAAAAATAGACGACACAAAAAGTGTGGCCTCGGTTGTTTCAATTTTTGCTATAGCCGCAACAAGCCACCGTACGTCTATTACCATAACCAATAGTCTTGTCGTCTTTTGACTCTAGCCATATGCATTCTTTGCGTTCTTCCTGCTTCCTAGTCAATGTTGTTTCTCCAGTTCACTTGTAATCCCTCGACCCTCCTAATCCTATTTAACCTAAAGTGCTTTTACGCGGGAGAGAGGACATGCAACATGTAACGTAAAACCCTATCTTCAATGATTCAAACCCAAACGATAACGCTCATGATTGGTTTAGTCGTCGTCTTCACTCAGTCTGCCTTGATCTTTGGTTATCGTAGACTCGTTAGATATAATTCCACGTATATATTCTATAAATCCATAGATTTCAACATAATATTAGTAACAAATTCTTTCAGGCACCAATTAAAACGTGAGCATCTGAGCTTGTTGAAGAAGAAAAAGAATATAGCCGCTGCAGGCAGAACTGGTACACCGGTCCACGGACCCGGCTCACTGTTCTCACTTCTCACAGGCGAAAGCACTCGCCTTCTCCATCTCACCACCTGCCTCTCCCCCCTCGCTTTCGTCTCGCTCGTCTCCTCCATCGCGCATGCTCCAAAAAGCTACTCCTCCCCTCTCCTGCTTTCCCCTCCTCGCCTAGGGTTTCCCACCGCGATGCCTCTCCCGAAAACCTAGCCGCCGCCGCCTCCTCACTGCTCTACTCGCCGCTGCAGCAGCCATGGCCGCTGGCGCCAGCGCCAGGGACTACTCTTTCGCGGCGGAGTACGACGGCCCGCCGCTCCCCTACTCGCTCCCGCGCGCCATCCCGCTCGACCTCTCCCGCATCCCGCTCGCCGCGCTGTCCTCCTCGCCCCCGGCCTCCCCCTCCGCCTCCTCGTCCCCGCTCCCCGTCGTTCGCCCGCTCACCCCGTCCTCCCTCTGCTCCGCCATCCACGCGCACGCCCACCCGGCGCCCCGCTCCGCCGCCCCCGCGCCCGCCGCGGGAGGAGCTGTGGTGGATTCCCCCACCTCCGTCATCGAGAACCACCACGCTGCCGCGCACCACTCCGCCGAGCTCCCCTCTTCCCCCTCCGACGACGAGGGCGCCGGCGGCGGCCCCGAGGCGCTGCCGCTGAAGCCCCGTCACCACCAGCCCGCGGTCACCTTCGCCGAGACCAGCGGCTCCCTCCTCCAGTCGTCTGACGACGAGGACGAGTACGAGGAGGAGGAGGACGAAGATGCCGACGCAGGGGAGGCCCGCCCCCGCGCTGCTGCCGGCCAGTCGAGCGGCTCCCTCTCCCCCGCTCACTGGAGGGGCGGCAGGACCCGCGGCTGCTACAGGTGCGGGAAAGGAGGCGGCTTCTGGGGCCGCGACAAGGAGTCGTGCCTCGCCTGCGGCGCGCGGTACTGCGTCGGGTGCGTGCTCCGGGCGATGGGCTCCATGCCGGAGGGGCGCAAGTGCCTGGAGTGCATCGGCCGGCCAGTGGCCGAGTCCAGGCGGGGCGCGCTGGGGCGAGGGTCGCGCGTCCTGCGGCGGCTTCTCAGCGCGGCGGAGGTGGAGCTGGTCATGAGGAGCGAGCGGGAGTGCGCCGCGAACCAGCTGCGGGCGGAGGACGTGTACGTCAACGGCACCAAGCTGTCGCCTGAGGAGCTTGTGGTGCTGCAGGGGTGCCCGTGCCCGCCGTCTAGGCTCCGGCCGGGGTTCTATTGGTACGATAAGGTGTCTGGCTTCTGGGGAAAGGTATGTGGCTTGTGACGATCTTAATTTTCTTGTGCTCCTGGGTAACCTCTATCTGTTTGATGCAACAGCAAACAGTTTATAACTAAACTGGTGGTGATTCGTGTCCATTTAGTAGAAGTAGGGATATTACACCAGTCAATGTGCAAACATGAAGTGAGGATTGCAAAGTATTCTGTCGGGTAAACTCTTTGAAGGACATTTAGTAGAAGTAGAGATATTACACCAGTCAATGTGCAAACATGAAGTGAGGATTGCTAAGTATTATGTCGGGTAAACTATTTGAAGGACAATTTATGTGATTTTTTATAGTTGCAGTTCACTATATCTATAGTATTATATTATTAGTTGGAATCATGATGTATGTCTGGAACTCTGGGCGCATGGTGCTGTTGAACATAATCTGCTGGAATATTTAGTTGACTTGGTAGAGCTTTGATGAATCAGCACCGTCAGGCATGTTGTATGATGGTCCACATGATCTTTCCTTGTCCTAGGAATGATAATGTATTGTGTTCTGTCTAAATCAGGAGAATCTGATAATTTTGATTACACTGCTCAGAAAAGATTGCGCACCCAAGTTGGCATGCCTGCAATTTAGCCATGATATATAGACCATGATTTTGGCATCTCGTGCTGTGGTTTAGGTAGGCTTCTGTTTTGGGGAAGGATTGAATAGGAATTGTGATTTTTTTGGTCCTTTTTATGCAATTTCATAATAGCTCAATAACTCAGTGATGGCATTATGAATTTTTGCTTGTTTCTTACAAACGTATAATAATTTATCACCGATAACTCTGACAAACTTTTCACTGAAAAATATTCCAGGAGGGACACAAACCACATTGCATAATCACTGCAAATCTAAATGTTGGAGGTTCTCTAGATCAAAAAGCAAGCAACGGGAACACCGGGATATTGATTAATGGGCGAGAGATTACAAAATCTGAACTGCAAATGCTTAAGGTTTGCAATCATATACTCACGCGCTTTTTTAGATAATGGAGAAAAATCCGGCTTCATCCCTCTACTACTAGTTCTTGACATATGTTGGTATCTTTATTTTTTAATAAAATTAAAAGAAATGTTTGATTTCAGTTGGCAGGAGTCCAATGTGCTGGGAAACCTCACTTTTGGGTGAATGCTGATGGGACTTACCAAGAGGAAGGCCAAAAAACTGTTAAAGGAAAGATCTGGGATAAGGTAACCCTGAGATTCTTCTTGTCTAGATGGTGTTGTAATTTTTAGGTTGGTAACTAACCAGCTTTGAATTTGTCTGCATTTCTCACCAGCCTATAGTGAAGCTTCTTAGTCCTGTTCTGTCATTGCCAACACCCAACAAAGCAGCTAATCAATCTGGCGAAGATGCTGTTAACATAGTAAATCGAGTCATCCCTGACTATCTGGAACAAAGAACAACCCAGAAGCTTTTGTTGGTTGGGTCAGGGGCAAGCACCATAATCAAGCAGGTACGTATGCTTATGGACATCTAGCATATTCATGTGCACAAATAACTAAATCGGTCGGCTGTAGTAAGATTACCACCCAAGATATAATTTGCAGTTTGCACATGTATAGTGATAGAATATCCTGCACCCCCACAAATTTGCAAAGTTGTATAGAAATTGATTTTGAATCTATTGAATACATCAGGCCAAGTTCTTGTACAAGAGCGGCAAGCCATTTTCGGTGGATGAGCGCGAAGACCTGAAACTTATCATACAAAGCAACATATACAACTACCTTGGCATATTACTTGAAGGCCGTGAGCGGTTTGAAGAGGAATCTTTAGCTGATAGAAGAAAAATCAGTCCAAGTGACCCATCTAGCTCTGGTATGACCAAATCTTCATGGAAGTTTTACAACTTCCATTCTTTCCTTTTGCCCTTCTTTCGGCATAACTGAGTAATTGAAATGCCAAGTGTTCCAGGACACTCCTAATTATTTGTTTTTTTGTAAAACAATGTACAAAAAGGAAATGTTCCTATATTTGTAATATGCCTACTACAAGTGATTTTTCCTTTTTTGTTTTTCTGCAGGCTGTTGTGAATCTGGAGTATGTGATGAAGTCACTGAGTACTCCCTTATTCCACGCTTGAAAGCATTCTCGGATTGGATTCTTAAAGCAATGGCTTTAGGTAATCTTGAAGACATCTTTCCTGCAGCAAGCCGTGAATATGCACCACTTGTTGAGGAACTATGGAAAGATCCTGCTATTCAAGCTACATATAGAAGAAGAAGTGAACTGCCGTTCCTTCCACCCACTGCCAATTATTTTCTTGACAAGGTATTATTGGCTAATGGCAGTCCCTTTTTTTCTTTGGTTTTATAGAGTTGGAAGTGTTGATTTGCATAGTGCGAATAGCGATTGTTCATTTTTACCTTTTGTCTGAAATGACCAGGCTGTTGATATTTCTCGAGCGGAATATGAGCTCTCAGATATGGATATACTGTATGCTGATGGGATTACATCCTCAGATGGGTTAGCATCAACTGAATTCTCTTCCCTCAGCTGTCTTTGGGTGGACTGGGTGTTGACGAGTCTGATGCACAAGACACCTTGCTAAGGTTAGTTCTTCTGTCACATAAGGCAATGTTAGTCTGCTATTACCTGCCTCACTGAGTCTGCTATTATAGTGTGTTGTCTCATTGTCTGGTATTATCTTGACTAGACACTTCTGTAAATCTGTAAAATGTGAACAAGATCAGGTTTTTTTCTTTTTGATGTATGGGCATGAGGTATGTTCATGTAGAACCTATTAAACCTTACATGCATGAGTATGTTTCACTTATACTTATATTCTAGGTTGAATTCTTTATTGCTATTGGGATCTCAACTGCATTAGGTGTAATAATGATGGCGGAATTTTGATTTGTTTTCAGGTACCAGTTGATCAGGATAAACAGTAGAGGTTTGCATGAGAACTGCAAATGGTTGCAAATGTTCGATGATGTAAGGCTTGTTATCTTTTGTGTTGCCGCTAGTGACTATGATGAGTACTACGAAGATGCAAACGGTACCATTGTCAACAAGATGGTAGAGAGCAGGCAACTGTTTGAGAGCATTGTCCTTCATCCAACATTTGAGCAAATGGATTTCCTTCTACTCCTCACCAAGTCTGATCTCCTGGAGCAGAAGATCAACGATTCCCCACTGACCTCATGCGACTGGTTCGACGACTTCACTCCTCTGATCAGCCGCAACCTTCTCAGCAGCAGCAGCAAGTCCACGCGCAGCAGCACTGGCGCGACGCTGCCCCAGATGGCCGCACACTACATGGCGACAAAGTTCAAGAGGCTGTTCCAGTTGCTGACTGACCGTAAGCTCTACGTGTCCTATGTGAACACCCTGGACCAGGAGTCGGTCCGGTTGGCGATCCACTACGGGAGGGAGATCGTCAAGTGGGAGGAAGAGAAGCCCGTGTTCGGTGCCAGCGAGACGGTCTACAGCGAGGAGCCGAGCTCCTTCACTCACTGACTTTGACACCCCGCCTTTGTTGTGTGCAGAAGAAGAGATGTAAATATTTGTGCAGCACCCTTTCTTTGTGGTACCCCCATTCCTTTTGTTCGTAGCTGATCATCGGCTTGTATGGCTGTTTAGTTAATTTGCAAGTAGAATGATGAGGCGCGAGAAGACCCGGCCCGTTCTGATTCTTGTAAATTGTATTATGAGTTGCTTGCATTTGATGCATTAGGCTGGCGCAAAGAGTCAGATCATCGGCTTGTATGGTTGTTAATTTGTGTTATATTGTCTGGTTCGTCGTCAGTGATCGTACCATGTGAGGATGCATTGTCCGTTGCTGAGATATTTTGGTGGGCGATGCGTCATCTGTTGTTGAGATGTTTTGCACTTTTGCTGGGAGATATCCATTATTGAGATGGGTCATCTTCAATTGTGGGCCTGAAAGTAAATCCTTTGCGCCCGCAAACTTGCAAGATACGACGTAGATGGTTTATGGAAATTTCTTTTTAAATAGAACATGAAATCAGACAGACTACTCGTGAGGCGTTGCTCCAGAGGAGCAAGAGCCGTGTTTGGCAGGGCACCTCCGCAGGAGCCAGAGCCGGGGATAAGCCCTGCCAAACAGGCCCCGAGTGTTCAGATGGCTCTCTTAAGCATATTGTTCCTCGAAATTGAGCATTGATTTCGGATTGGAATTTCTGTGGATGTTAGGTTTGTCAGCGGACGCAACCTAGTGGTCAGATGGCTGTCTTTAGCAGACTGTTCCTCGAAATTGACAATTGATTTCGGATTTGAATTTCTGTGGATGTTACTGTATGTTTTATTATGTTTTGGGTTCCGTCAACTGTAAAAATTCGAATTGCATTTCAGGCAACTGACAGAACTTCACCTCTGACTGGTGCAATTGCTCCGCGTGCATGTCCAGTTCACACTCGTGCCTTTGCTCATGGAGCGAAAGAACCGGGAAAGTGAGCAATCAGAAACATGGCATTGCAATTTAGGCCCCGTTTAGTTCCCCCTAAAAACCAAAAATTTTTACGCAGTAAGTGTCACATCAAATCTTGTGACACATGCATGGAGTACTAAATGTAAACAAAAAAAAATTAATTACACAGTTGGCTGAGAAATCATGAGACGAATCTTTTAAGCCTAAATAGTCTATAATTAGACAATTTTTACTAAATACAAACGAAAATAATACAATAGCCAAAAGCCAAAAATTTTCGGAACCAAACACACCCTTACAACATTTACACAAAACCATGGCGCGCATGCAGTTATTCCGCGTGTACAGTAGTACAGCACGCGCCGTCGGACACGACCGACACGACGGGGCGACCAAGGGGTCCGCATCAGCTCAGCTTGGCGCGAACCGGTCGAGGAGCAGGTAGAGCGTGGTGTCGGACATGGCGCCGCCACACCTCGCGACGTCCCCTCCCTGCTTGTCCCTCCCGGCGGCCGCCGCGTCTCCTCGCACCGCCTTGTTGCTGTCGCCTCGCCCCGGCTTCTGCTGCTGGAGCTGGAGCGCCGGCCGCGGGTCCTCGCCGAGCCCGTGGGTGGCGGCCGCCGCCTGCCACATCCCCTGCAGCGCCGCCGCGAGCTCGCCGAACCACGCGCCGGCCAGGTTGGACGCCGTCGTCGAAGCCATGGAGATGCAGATGCTTGCTTGGATCCGATGCAGAGCAGCTTAGAGCTGAGCTGAAATTCAGCTGGTGTGTTGTGGGACTATGTGCCGTGCGTGTGACAGTGTGTGTGAGAGAAACAAGAAGCCTGGATGTGGATGAGTTGTTGGTTGCCGTGTCTGTCAGGGGTCCTTGATGGCCTGTGCTTATATAGATGCCGCGCGCCGAAGCCCGAACGGATCAGGCCTTCTAGACGTCGATGGCGCGGCACGGCGCGGGCCCCGCACGGCCGGCCACGACAGCGGCCGCGAAACGGTAGGCGTGCCCGCGGTTTCGCCTCAGCTCGCCGGCGGGTCGCTGGCGGACCGGGGCCCCGGCTCGTCAGCTGCCAGTCTGTGAGGACTTAGGCGCGTGCGTGCGGCGTGCCATGCCGGATGCCGCGGCCCTCGTCCTCGTCGTTCTTATCGCGACGACGTGTCGCCGTGTCGGTGTCACCGTGTGCTTCCCGGATGGCCCGTGCCGGCGACCGGCGACCCCTCCAAAGGGGAGGAAGCGTGTGCGTGTAACCTCGCTCGCTGCTGATAAACCTTCCATCTCCGGTCCGCTGTCGCCATCGCAGCGTAAACGTGCGCTGTGGCGCGGCGCAGCGAATTCTAAATTCTAATACGGTGGATGATGGTGATGCTACCAGCTGTAGCCGCCGTGGTGCAGGGTCGTGCCGTTCCGGCCGGGCGGCCGGCCTTCCGCCGTCGCCTTCTTCTCGAAGGATCTCGGCAGCCAGCCAAGCCCATGACCAGCAGCGGAGAACAGATTCGATCCGCGCCGCGGACATGCCGGGCCGGATGCCCGGATGGATCCATGGGCCTTCAGCATCCTCTCTTCGGCCTGCCGCCGAGTCCGCAAGCCCACGTGTCGCCCCAACCCGTAGCCCAACAGGACAACGGGCCCGGCCCCGGATCGTTTTTCTGCCCCCTTAATCAATCGTCTAGCAAAGCAAACTCTCCAAGTCGGGTATGATCCGAGCTGGACCCGCGGAGTGGCCCCACGGCCTTGACTTATTTCCGCTATCCCTCCGCATCGTCCCCGTCCGTCTGACCGCCTCGTTCCCGTGCCCACCGCCGCCCAAATCCTAACCCTAGCCTTGCCGCCGGCGAGGCCAGGAGCGCCAGGAGCCCCCGCCCGACGACCCCGGTGACGACGTCCCCAGCGGCTCTATCGCCGCAGGGGAGATTTAGGTAACGCCCCCGCCCGCCCCGTCCCACGTAGGGCTCGGTCAGATCCGATCTGCTGGCACTAGCTGCAGGAGTCCCGGCGACGTACGGCTCCCCCTAGGGTTAGGGCTTTCTTGGGTTCTTCAGTTTTTTATCTGTTGTGGGCGTGGGTGCGATGTATGCCTCGTGCTCTTGCCATGCGTGCTTCGTCTGACACTGCAGTGTGGTCTTTAGTCTTTTAATTAATTATTGTAATTTCTGATATCCTTTGATGACTAGTATAAAAAAGAAAATAAAAGAATTGTGTCTATAGCAGTAGATTTGAGGTTTAGTGATGAATGCGGCATGCAATCCTTATGTTGTCGCTTTGCTAGTAATCGTGCCGTTACGCTTGTGGCTTCCTGTTTGGCCAATCTGGTGACAATGTCTAGTACTTGAGCCGTATCGACTAAAAAAGAATCAATGTGGCCGTTGGTTACTGGTGTGTTTCATGTTCTGCTACTCCAAAATGTGGGATATATTTTTAGCGCTAGCGTCTGCTCAGAGAATGGTCTGTCTTTATGCTCTTCTTCCGTTTAAAAGTTGTTTACCTTTTTAGGCGCATTGCTTCCCAGTGACTGTACTTTCTTTTTCTAATTCTAGTGTATGACTTCTTTTGTGATGCTTTGCTTTGCGTTAGCGATATACTGACCTGTGACTTGTCCTCAGCGATATACTGACCTGTGACTTGTCCTCATCCTGCATTACGGTGACTGTATACATTCTATTTCTAGTATGGCTTCCTGTGTGCTGCTGTGCTTTTGCTTTAGTGGTATATCGTCATCTTGTGCTTGCAGCTGCTTGTCGAGCTCTTGGTGACTTGGTAATAATCTGCATTTCAGGTGAATGCCACAAGCATGATGACTCAAACCTTGCAAGGGAAAGTTATGGCCTACACACCGAGCAGCTTTCCTATTCAGCAACAGATGTCGCCGGAGGATCTTGAAATGCTTCATCTGGATAACATGAACCAGGATACCTCTCCGATTCGCGCCATCATTATTCAAAAAATGTAAGTTTGGAAACCACCAGCATCGATACTAGTTTTGACTTGCAAATTTGTTGTTGCTGTTAGTATATGCGGCTGTGCGCTTGTTGTGAGCAAGAAATCATGTCACTACTGATACATGCTAGCAGTTCACCCAGCTACTTCACTGCATTTTAGTTATTGGAATGTTGATCTTCATGCTTGCTAATATATTGATGTTCATATTTGTTCACGTAGCTTGCGTTGTTCTATGGTTCCATGAACATAAATGCAGTGAGTTCATTTATTCACATGAATGTATTGTTGGCAGATGATTAAAATTTGGCAATCCCATCCCCACTTGAAATACACGACCAATATTCTCAATTCAGACTTACCTATTATCAGAATCATCCATTCTTTGTGTAGCTCAGAAGATCGTATGGTGCATTTTCTCATGTGGGCACACAATTCTGCAAAAAAAAAAATTGTATGAAAATATCTGATAGTTACAACTAAGACTTTGTTTCTGTGTATTCCCTGTGTTCACCTAGGTAGCCTGCGCCATTACTTGTCTATAATGCTTTCATATTGAATTGTTACATCTTACAAGGCTGAATTCTTCATTTTATTTGTATTTTGCTGATACAGCATAGTTAGTCTTATACCTCAGTATATGGTGTTGCACTGTATTCATGAGCATCTAGGTGCAGATTTTACTTGTTTTATTCAATTTTACTTGATTCCCAGCCCAGATAAACAATTTTTTAGTTATATATATGCTTCCCATTTTGAGTACTAGTTCATTTTATCTATCTTTAGTGTACACCTTTTCCTGCATAAGCCAGTGGTTTGAAATTTCTTCAGGAATACTAAAGAGTGGTTTAAATGGAGATAGTGGATTCATTCTTTTCTTTCCTTTTGCCTTTGTTTCCTTTTTCACATTGTATATTCTGATGTTTCTTTCTTCTATCTATCCAGTGAAGCATGCCTGAGAAAGATGGAACAATTTTGTAACTTGTGCCCAGATTCATGTCTGAAAGCTTCAAGAATCATTGACAACATGCTCTACAAAAATGCTCCACAGGTGTGTTCTTTCATTCTGCCATGCAACCACAATACATTATATAGCACGCTAGTATCTTTTATTTAGGTCTGAAAATCTTGCTCTTGAATTACATCCTAAAAAAATCTACAAAGCTGCCCCTGGGAGTAGAGATGATCCTCCCAGGCGTAGCGCAGTGGAGACGAGGATGGTGGCTGGATCTAAAACTTAGAGCTGCAATACCATGTTACAAATAAGGGAGACTTAATTGGATGATAGTATTGAGGCCCAATGGCGACTATATATATAGTACATGAGAGACATAAGAGGAAACCCTAGACTAGGAGATTACGGTAATACCCTTGACCATTATACCTTAAAATAACAGTGCATGTTTGACCCATGCTGAGTGATAATAATTTAGCTATTGTTGTACCTTGTGTCCTTTTTTTTCTGTTGCATCTTTCATATCTTAGTTACGTAACTCAATAACTAAATATCTTACTAGTTTATGATGCCTTGCTAACATCTACCCATTTTCTATATCAGCTCCATTTTACATGGATCTTGACACAGTAGAGGGCAGGGTGAATGATTTGCTCAGATCTTTTCCATATAGAAACCAAAGAGATCCATGGATATCTTCAGCAGTTCCATCAACAAAGATTTGCGGCAGCTGCCTGGGATACAGATGACAGACTCTAGTGTCTATCATAATAGAGTTGCCCCTGCTTTTACTAATTTGCCTGCACATTCAGGAGATGTACCTCCACATACTGTGTTCACTTCTCAGAGTAAGTTGGGATGATGTGCTCTACTTTTATCTCTCAACATACCTTTAAATTTATCATTATTCGTTGGCTATATTTTGGCAGGATATGTACCACAGAATCACAACATGGCCGCTGCTAATTTAGCTCTAGTTGCAAGGCCTGAAAGCTTTATGAGCACCATAGTTGCTCCATCTGTGTCAGGACTTCCTAACTGTATTTCAGGCTTTGGTGGGATTGATAGTGCTGGATTGCAAAATGGCTATTTAAAGGACCATTTTCCAGGTAAATTGTTTCACATCCCTTGCCTTACATATTTGATTAGAAATGACCATTTGTACTTCACAAATTTGGTCTGGTCATCTCATTAAAATGGTATGAGCAAATTTTGCCAGGTGATGCTTATCGTGTTGATAGTCCACAACCGTCTATGTCTGGGAGTTCCAGTCCTTTATCAGCTGTGTGTGATCCAACCACAAGTTCGGGTGCAATGATAAGATCATCAATGGACTCTATCTCTAAAGCAAGTGGGCAAAAACTCTTTACCGGTGAAGGACAATTGTTTCAACAATACAGAGAATATGAGAAAGAGTTAGATGGTGCATGGAGCCACCCAGCAGAGAAGGCAGTTCACTCAAATAGGACAACTCAAAGCAATGAAATCTATTTCAAAGAAGAATGTGGACCTGACACATTCATGGAAATGAAAGAAAACTATTGGCACGCCTCGGACTCTAGAGATTCGTGCAGGGAGATATACTCAAATTTAAGCACACCCAATGCTCAGTATCAGTGCTTCATGTCTGATTGTGATCCTTGTGACCCTGAGAGAGAAATTGTTGAGAGATCTGAACAGACATCAAATAGCACAGTATCAAAGCCAACTTCACCTATTTCAGATGAATCTTCTGGCAAGCGTCCAGCAAAACGCCTGAAGGCTGATGCTCCCACTCTTGTCAATGTCAATCAAGTAGAGAGTCCAAAGGAGCAAAAACCTGTTATGAATGAGAATCATGTATCTGGTGGTGAAACAGTACAATCAGAAATCACAGAATTACCTGCAAAATCACCTTGCAGTTCATCGGGAGACATTAATGCTGACAGCAATAATACGCTTGAACAGGGTAGTAAAGATGCACCTAACATGGAGATTGTTAAGGAAGAGGAATTGTACTGTGCAAAGGGTGACATTGAGATGAAAGAGGCTAAGACTGTTGCATTGGATCAGACATCAAGAGGGGTCAATTTAAGTTCAAAAAGAGAGGGGGGCTTCTATACTTTATGCATTAACTGCTGAGGAGCTTAGAGATCACATGAGTAGTCTAATAAACCAGCATACTTATTCCGGTGAGTGGATAACCCTTTCAAACTCCTGTATTTTCTGTGACTTTGTTTGATCCTGTAGAACCAACATATTATACCGCCAAGCAGTCAGATAGTTGTATGATAATCACACTCATGGCTATTATATGACTGTCTAATCATACTCATGGCTATTATATAACTGTCTTACTGCTTGGCGGCATAGTACATTGATGCTACAAGATCAAACCAGAATCTTGTGTATGATTTATCCATGGTTAAGAATATAAATTTTCTTCCAGTCAGATTGGATCAATTGTATCATTTAGTATTTTAACATAATTTCCTTGTTTTTTCAGAGCAAAGTGACACCTCAAGAATTCCCATCAATTGATGGATTGCCTGATCAGAATACATGCAGTTTGTGTGGGATGGAGAGGCTTCTTTTGAACCTCCTCCACGATTTTGTGCTCTCTGTTTCAAAATTATAAATTCTGCAGGGTGCTATTATGTTGAAGTTGAAAATGGAAGTGAGAAAACTTCTATATGTAGCAAATGCCACCATCTTAGCAGTTCAAGAGCTAAATATCAGAAGAAATTTAATTATGCAGAAACAGATGCTGAGGCTGAGTGGGTAATGTTCTTTTCATATGTCAGGTTATCCTTATGTCTAGTAAATTCTCATCTTTTTCTTTGCTTGCATTTTTCAGTGGGTACAGTCACGACAAGTGCAAAGCTTGGCAGCATGAAATCTGTGCTCTTTTTAACAGAAAGTGTGAAGGGGCAAAGGCTGAGTATACTTCACGCAAAATGTTTTTTGAATGAAAA